TATTTTTTTTTTTTTTTAATGTATTTAGGATAGGGTCTACAGGGTCTCTAGAGTCTCACTATGTAAATAGGACTCGTAGTGATTCTCCTGTTTTCAGCCTCCCAAGCTCTGGGATTACAGGTGTGCTCTACAACACCCTGAGACAATCACTGTCTCAGGGAGTCCCAGGGGTGGGGCCAGCACTGCACACCAGGGATCAAACCCAGGCTGCTGGGCCCTGCCTAAGCAGGCACTTTAGTCTGCTGAGCTATCTGGCCAGCTCTAAACCAATTATATTCTGATAGAAAAGATCACCAGCCTAGGAATCAGAAAGCTGTTAAACAGGGCTGTGGAGAAAGAAAGAAAGGCAGCGTGCCAAGAGTGCAGCAGAGAGGTGAATGGGAAAGATGGGGTGGAGAGGTCAGCAGCCAGGGGCCAAGACATCCAGGGCCTTCATATTATCCTGCAAACAATGAGGACAATCTCTGAAGGATAGTCTTATTACAGCAGGCCCTGGGAAACTTGAGAATAGTGCAGACTCAGTTCTAGAGCAAGGAGGTGCTAGGTGGGCTGCAGTGGCTTCATTTTTCTTTTTCTTTTTCATTCTTTCTTTTTTTTTTTTTTTTTGCGGAACCAGGGATTGAACTCAGATCCTTGTGTTTGCCAGTCAAGTGCTTATCCTACTGAGCCATCTCCCCGGCCCCAGCAGCTTCATTTTTCTTAAACACATCCTAGGAACCTCCCTGAATTACCAAAGTGAATCTCCTTTTGAACAGGACCGTCCACAGGGCTTATTCTAGTTAGAGCATTCCATCACTCTGCACTCTACATGCTGGGAGACTGCGTAGCCCCCGAGAAATGAGGGAAGTGAAACTTCCACTTGCAGCCCAGGGGTAGCTTCCAACAGTGCCATTACAGCACTGGAAACTGTAGCAGAGACACCAGGGCTGACATCTATGAAGAAATAGGAGCCAGAGACCAGGCAGGAGATGGCTGGGAGGCAGGGCCAGCCCTCGGGATGTTGTGATCAGGATTCACAAAGAAGCCAGGAGGCTCCAATCAATTAAATAAACCTTGGTCTTAAAAAAAAAAAAAAGAAAAAAAAAAACACAGAAAATCTCTGCACCTCTAGGTTGGAGGGACAAGTCATCAGCACTGACTGTTAAAAAAAAAGAAAAAGAAAAAAGGGAGAGACTTTTTCTGATGACATCGGTTGATAGGGGTAGAAGGTGTTCCCTGGGATCAGCATCTGCGTCTCAGCCTACTCCTTTCCAGCCTTCCTCACCTCCATGCCTTTCCAGGAGCTCCCTTAGCTCTCCTCCTGGCTGCCGGCATTACAGCAGAGGGGCTGAGTCCTGAGAGCTTGGGCTGCACCGCTGCCACCTGCAGCCCTCTCTCTTACCAGCCAGGGAGCCAGGTGGAGACAGATGGGTTGAAGGGGTAATGTGACCGAGCCGGTCTTGTCAGCACCCTGTGTGGTGGGACGCAACACTCCTTCTGTCGTCTTGAAGCAGACAATCCAGAAAGTGAGAACCTGGTGTCAGCCCAGACCCCAGAAGACAGCAGTAGCCACAGCAGAAAGCACCTGCAGGTTCCCCTGAAGAGCGAAGCGCTCTGGAGCACAGGAAGGGGTGCCGCTGGGCTGGGGACCAGGGAAGGACCAGGTGGGCATGTCGCCTGCCCTGCCCTCAACGGGCTGCTCGCCGTGGAATGCATTCTACCCGCCTCCTTTGGAGAAAGGCCGGGATATTCCAACCCCAAAACCTCTCGCTGGAGGCTGGGAAGGATGTAACTCGGAAGTCTGGCAAATCCGGCTCCTGTACTCACTCCTTCAGTGCCGGCTTTCCTAGAGATTTCTGAAGACTGGATGAGCAGAAAGGGTTACACCGTTAAAAGAACACTCTCCCGGGGAGGCGGGGAGGCAGGAAGGCGGGGAGGCGGGGAGGCGGAGAGGCGGGGAGGCGGCTGATATTTTTTGGGCTGTCCCATTCTGATCTCAGGGTCCCAAACCCTGCCGCCCGTGGCCAAGCCGGCCAGCCAGAGCTAAGGTCCCCCTTCTGCAAGAGTGGGCCACCATCCCACACCCAGGCACCACAGCCACCTCCCCCCCCGGGCCCCTTGCCACCTCCATCCTCTCCCCTTAGCCTCTGATTGGCTGAGCCCCGGGCCCTCCCCACCCTCTTTCCCCCACCCCTAGTGAAAACTGCGGGCTCGGTGCAGGGTGCTGCAACTGGAGGTGGTGACTGACATCGAGTCCCGAGGAGGCTGCAGCGGCAGAGGACGGAACCAGGTGAGAGCTGGAGCCAAGCTGGGACCGGGACTGCAAGAGTTTTTTCGGGAGCGGTCGGAGGGCGCCTCGGGAAAGAGCCGCGCAGAGATGGGGCAGGGACCTGCACGCGAGGCCCGGGTACAAGCGTAATGGTCTTGGGGCAGGGGAGGCTCCGCACCTCGCCTTTGCGGAAAGCAGCTAGCAGGCTTTCTCGCCCACCGGCGGGCGGTTGCCTGGGGCTGCAGCGCCGGGGAAGAACCTGGAGGAAGGACACCGAGGGCGACCTTTGGCGCTGCTCTCCACCTAAAGGACCCCATACCCAGCTCTCGGGGGGGGGGGGGGGGGGGGAATAGGCGACAGGATGGAGGGTGCAAAGGGACAGTCAGAGGGGATCTCAGCTCGGTGACCTCACGGCGGGCTGGGTGCGGGGCGCCAAGGTAAAGAAACCGCAGTGCCGCGGGCGGGGACTGGGTGGAAGGCGGGCAGACAAGGAGGGGAAAGCTGGAAAGGAAGAGAGGGGGAAGGGGGCCCTCAATTGGGAAAGAGGATCGGAATAGGGAAGTAATAAGGGTGGGGCGCGCCGAGCCGGAGCTAGGCAAGGAGGCCCGCAGAGCAACTCAGGGTCTGAACTGCGGGGACAGCTAGCTAGCAAGGGAAATAGCCAGCGCCGCCCTCTCTACCTCTGGCTCCACATCCCTCCTCGCCCCGATTCTTGCCTTTCTTGTCCTGCCCACCGCTCCCCCTCACCTACATCCCAAGCCTCACCCCTCCTCTGTCACCGAATGTCCTCCACTCAAAGCAGAGTGCCAGCCCCCTGTCTCCTCCCCGGCAGAGCCTCGGGATCTGGCTCTGGGCGGCGGTTCCACCAGGACCGGGTAGGCATTCACGGCCTCGAGACCCTAGCCCTAGCCTCACCCCTCCCCACACCCCACCCCCGGGTCGGGAGAGGGCTGCCCGCCAGCGAGCCCGGACTCTGGAGTGGCGCGCCCTAGGCACCGGGCGGCCGGGCGCAGCTCAGCCAGGATCCAAGCTCCTCTTCCAGCTCCTGGGGTGAGCGCTGCTGCACACGGGGGAAACTGTCTGCTCCGTGTCGCCAAAATGATGGTCCACTTAAGAAATGGGGGAGGGGGTTAAGTTGCAAAAACACTAGGCAGGGAGTCTAGGCGGGGTAGCTATGAAGCCATACTGGAAAACCATAGCTCCAGGAATCTCTGGGAAGCATGTTTGCCCTTTGCAATCAAAAACCGCTGTCGTTTCCCTCGCCATCATCCGCAAAGGCCTTAACTGTGTGCCCGCTACAGGCGAGTCTGGAGACCCTTAGCCAAACACACACCAGACAAGATCTTCATTTCCTCAATAAATATAGTTTGAACATCTGCCATATACCAAGAACAGTCCTAGGCATTGGAAAGATGCTTCTGGACAAGAAATAGAAAATCTCTAAACAGAGATTTTTTTTTTAATTTATGTATTTGGTACAGGGTCTCACTACACAGCTCAGACTGGTAGTGATCCTCCTGTTTTCAGACTCCCCAGCACTAGGATTACAGGTGTGCACCACTATGTCTGGTCTTGGTAGCCAGCTCAGCGCACCGAGGGGCAGAGTCAGCATGGCATGTTGTGCTGGGGATCAAACCCGGTCCTTGTGCTTGCCTACACAGGTGCTTAGTCCTCTGAGCTATCTCACTGGCTTGAGAATTTTTGTTTAATGAGTATAATGTTCATTGGTTCAGAGAGAGCCTTAGAGAGCCAATGCACAGCAATGTGAATGTACTGAGCACACCCCAGCTGCATGCTTGAGATGTGGCTACAGTAGTAAATGTCATCTGCATTTTACCAAATTAAACTTTCAAAAATAAGTAAATAGAGTAGGGCATGGTGATGCATGCCTGTAATCCCAGCACTTGAGAGGCTGAGGTAGAAGGATCGTTGTGAGTTCAAGACCAGCCTGGATTACAAAGTGAGCTCAATGCCAGCCTGAACTGCATGGACAGACCCTGTGTCAAAAAGAAAAAAAAAAAGTAAATAGGAAGTCCTTGCCTGAAGAAGAGTAGTAAAGGTGAATCTTTGAAAGCTGCGCCCCTAGGAAGTGCATCATGACTGAGCACAAACACCCCACCATTCCAGGTGCGTGTACTGAGCACTACCCAACAACATTCCCTAAGGAGGAGAGAGCCAGAGGCAGTGTCACCTTCAAAGAAGAGTGAAGAGAAGAAGAGAGGGGTGGAAAGTGGGTTAGATGTCCACCATGTTCCCCAAGAGTCCCAAACTTAGCCGTCAGTGCGCGCACACAGGTTCCATCTCTTGACTAATCCCCCTCTGTTCCCACCCCAGATCCAGAACGGAGCTTTTGGCACCATGAACCCAGCCATCGGCATCGCCCTCCTGCTGGCAGGTACTCAGCAAGGGGCAGGGCTGACTTTCCAGGGACCCTGGCTTCCCTCTCTTTAGAGAAGTCTGCTTCTTCATCAAAGCCTAGGAAAGTACAGCTGGCTGGGGAAGGGAGGGCTCTTCTGCCTCCTGAAGACAGCTATTCATCCAGCTTCCCTGCTGCCTCCTGGAATGGCCTTTAGAAATAAGTCACTGAGCCTTGTCCCATGGTAGTGAATGGGAATCTCCAAATGCCCTTGAGACTAATTAATGGGACCCAGGGTCAAGGAGACTAGGGAAAGAGGTCGGGGTGTTGGGGTGGGAGCGGGGAGTTCTGCTTCCTGGATCCCTGGAGTAGAAAGAGGCCCTCAGGGCAGCACCCTGTGCCCTCCCCGGTTGTATCTACTACCCAGGGATGATGTGGGTGGGACACCCCTCATTGTCAGCTCTCTACCAAATGCAATGGGCACTGTTGGTGCCAGTCTTGCAGGTGTCCCAAGGGCAGAAGGTGACCAGTCTAACAGCCTGCCTGGTGAACCAGCACCTCCGTCTAGACTGCCGCCATGAAAACACCACCACTTTGCCTGTCCAGTACGAGTTCAGCCTGACCCGTGAAAAAAAGAAGCATGTGCTCTTTGGCACCATGGGGGTGCCTGAGCATGCTTACCGCGCCCGGACCAACCTGACCAGTAATTACAACATCAAGGTTCTCTATTTAGCCAACTTCACCTACAAGGACGAGGGGACCTACACATGCGAACTCCGCATCTCTGGTCAGCAATCCGCCCCCAACTACAGGAATGTCTCTGTGCTCAGAGGTGAGGCAAATCCCCAAAAAGGCCACATGGCCCATGGGAGAGCCAGGCTGGAGACCACCCACTGGCTAGGACAGCAGTCAGTTCCCTTGGCCAGGCCAGAGGGGAGAGGGGCCCCAGGACTCCCTCCCCCTCCCCCAGAAGCTGCGTGGTCCCCTAGAGCACACTGCTTTGGAAGTGAAGAGGAAAGAGCTGAGCGCTAGTTAGAGAGGCACACAAGTGTGTTAGCTCCAGGCAAGTCCTTTGGCTTCCCCAGTCCATTCACCACCTGCAAAACAGGTGGCACAGCCTCCTCCACCCAAAGTTTTCTTGGGAGGATGTTCAGTGGATTTTCATAAGATATGTATGTGTATGCAAGCACTCAGGACCCTGCGAATGGGAAGTACAGTTGGTTCTCTTAGACCAGGTTGGCCCAAAGGGAATACACCCACTTTGGGCCTGTGCCTCCTGCCTCCTGGTGCCTCCCCTCACCCCATTCTCTCTCCACAGACAAACTGGTCAAGTGTGAAGGCATAAGCCTTCTGGCGCAGAATACCTCGTGGCTGCTCCTCCTCCTGCTCTCGCTCTCCCTCCTCCAGGCCACAGATTTCATTTCCCTGTGACTGGATGGGCCCGTGGAGGACACAGGAAGCCTCAAGGCCCAGGGCAGAGATCCTGCTTCTCTGAGCTGGCTCACCCCCTCCCCAAACCCTCACACAGACTGGGGAGCAAAAGAGACCCCACTTCCTGTAAAGAGCCCCAGTGCTGCATGCAATCCTCTCCCTACTTCACCCTCTGCACACCACTGGCTATCTTTTTGTACCCTGTTCCAGAGCTGCTTCTGTTTTATTTAGGGGATCTCCTTCCTTTTCTTTGGGAGTGTGTGACAAGGGAAGCCAGGATAGAGGACCTGTCGGAGAGTGAGGGTATGTGACGGGAAGTGCAGGTACCAGTCCCTGGGGATGACCATCTTTGGCTCCTGGGACCAGAAGCCTGGGAGATACCTGGAGGAGGAGGGACTGGTGTGTCTTGGCCAAACCCAGATGTGCTCTGTGTTGAGACCTTCCCAGCAGGCAAAGGTGCCACCTGCAGACCCCAGGTATGAGGGCTCCCTGAGCATGTGTGACTCGTCACATGAGGGTGGGAAACGAGCGTCTCTAGGCGCATTCTCAGCCACAGTAGAAAAACTCCCTCTTGCCACTGTTCAAGCCCCCTAGGGCTTTGGGCCAGGGGTGCTGCCCACTGACAATGCGGATGCAGTGGGAAGCACAGGCACTAATACAGGGTTGGGGGACGGGTAGAAGGCGACATCAGCTCCACCCACCTAAGGAAGCTGAAAAGGTGAGCCTGCTGTCCTTCACTGCAGCCTCACCAGTTGAGAGGGTGACAGAGGAAGACAATGCCCCCCAGCTGTCCCAAGCTCCCACGAGCCCTGCCCCACAGGCTCAGAATCAAGGGGAACCCAGAGCCCCACAGTTGGGATCGAGTTTCCAAGGGAGGCTCTTTCTTACCCATCACCCCCAGCCTCTGGCAGTGGGGTCCTGAGGTCCCAGACAGTCCCTGCCTCACAGGCCTGTCTCCTCAGAGACCTCAGGAGGCCTGAGGCAGGCCCTGGAGTGACACCTGGGTGGCAATCCTCGGGAGATGGTGTTTCCCAATACCCAACCCCACCCCCGGTGGTTCTGCCCGTCCTGTAACTGTGTAGCACCACCACAGCTACTGGCATCTCATTGAGGAAAAAAAACTGCACAATAAAACCCAGCCTCTGGAGTCTACCCTCGTGTCCATCTCCACTCTGCTTCTCCAACCCAGAACTGCCTCCTCCCTTTGCTGGGAGCTTCTGCGGGCAGGGTCCAGTGAGACCCTGGGGGACACCAGCCCCTCCCTTGCCTTCTTCCCTCTGCTTTCTGCAGCCCCCACCTCCAGGGACATACCACTGCTTGCTGGGCTTTGTTTCAGAATGACTCAAACATGACAATTTACCCAAATAAATAAAAGTCCCCCCTCTGCTGACTCACCTGGCTACCCAGCAGACTGACCTGCCAGTGTGTGGGCAGAGCCCCGTGGTCCTGGCTCCAAGAGGTCCAAGCACGTTTACAAGAACAAACATCAGTGTGCAGTCTGCTGCTGCCTCCCAGCTCTGCAAGTCCCCCTCAAGTCAGAGGGCACCGGAGCACAGGACAAAGGTTCACTGAGAGGTGACCTTCCACTGGTGACCTTGTCATCAGGTGGCACATTACCCATCCTTCCTAAATCTAGGAAGCAGTGACTACAGAAAGGAACTAGGGGTGAATCCTGTTCCCTTAGTAGAGAACAATCACACACACACACACACACACACACACACACACACACACACACTCTTCCACCCCTTCAATGAGAACAGGCACCAGGGCTCATCCTTCGACTGGGGCTACATGGTGGCCGTGGGTAGTTACAGCTCCGGTTGCTGTGAGGCAATCCCTATCCAGCCTGCCAGGGAATATGGGGGAGGAGGCTGACTCACTGGGTATTTAGCACTAGATAGATGGCTCTTTCTTCAAGTTTTTCTTAAAGGCCCAGGTCTAATTTAATGCCACTTATTCCCACTGTCCCAACTGCCTCCCACTGCTACCTCAGCCTTATGCTGACCCCTGTAGTGACCATGTCCAAAGGGGTAGCAGAAGCCCACCAGGAGGAGAAGCTGTCTGTAGCAAAGCAGGCCTGATGGCCTTCAGCATGATACAGCCAGCTCAGGGATTCCCAGGGGCAGAGGCATTCTCTAGATCCACTCCTCATTCAGCATGGCCTTGGGGTTGCCAGGGAGGAAGTTTCAGCGAGAAGAGCCTTGGTTGGGGAAGGCAGTTCTGACAGGCTGCTGGACAGGAGTGAGGGGCGCCACCCTCGGGCAGGAAGGGGGAAACCAGGTGTGAAGCCTCCACTGGAGCCTGGGACCTGCATGATGCTGCCTGGGTGGGCTCTGCTGTCAGACACGTGCTGAGGAAGTGGGGTGTCCTGTCCTGCTCAGGACGGCCTATGCTGATTCCCCTGGGGATTCCCACTAGCCTGAGTAGCCACAGAGGCCTGTGGAGGTCCACAGATTACAGAAGGCAGAAAGGAGAGGCTCAATCCCTCGGGCCACACAGCAAAAACTGACCACTGTGGTGGACAGTGGGTGCTGCAGGCTTTCACCGCAGACCCAACAGCGACTGTCCATCGCTGCTCAGGCCACAGGAGTGGAGTAAGCCATGGGACATGTGTAGTGATGCGCCATTTATAAAGGACTGGGGCCTGCCCTGTGCATGTGCCCCCAACACACCAATGCTGCACGCAACCATCCACCTCCTCACCTCTCTCCATCCCAACTTTTACCCCTGAATCCCTACCACAAGGCCTAAATTCTTGCTGAAGTGGGGCAGCACCTCCTCTCCACGCTCCCATTCCTGGGTCTGGTTAGCCTCTGATACAGACCACAACTGCCCAGAGCAACATGGTAGGGTCCCAATGACATCTAGGGCCTCCCTTGGAAAGAGCAAAGGGATCTCTGTGTGTGACACATGGAGACTTTCAGTGGCCATGAATCCTCATGGCTGGAGACCTGTGACACACATGCTCCTGCCTCCGCAGCACAGTATTCATCTCCTGTGTTCACGTGAGTGTCCACTTTGAAAGAAGCAAAGCCCAAGTTGAAAGCAATCATTTCTCATTTCTTGGAGACAGAAGATTGGAGCTGGATTCCCTTGCGGTCCTGGAGAGGCAGGAGGGTCACTGGCATTCCTCTACTTAATCAGGAGAGCTTCCTGTTGGAAATGGGCTGCTTTCCTACCTGGGCATGGGCTCAGGACACTATCGGTCCCAGCAATTCCCCTACCCCTCAGGGAGTAGACACCACAAGTTCAGACTCACAAGAGGCATCCGCCTGGCAAAGGGAAGCCTGGGGCAGGAGGAGGTGTGGAAGTGGAGTGGACACAGGCTGTGGAGGGCACGTAGCACCAACAGGCGGAGTCCCAGGGAGACCTTCTGTCAGTTCACACCAGGAAGGGGCTGTGACAGCTAGAGTGTCCCAGGAGTTTCTGGCAGTGGGTACTGTTCAGCTGGAAGCCACAGGGAACCTGTGGGAACCTGGTCTAGATAACCCTAGGTGACTATAGTCATTATGTTCTTCAGGCTTCCCCTTGGTAACGTGTGTGTGTGTGTGCGCGCGCGCGCGCGCGCGTGCGTGTGTGTGTTTTGCTGGGGGTTCGAATTTATAATCCCAGCCCTTTTTATATTATTCTGATATAGAGTCTCATTGAATTGCCCAAACTGGCCTTGAATTGCAATCCAGAGTAGCTGAGATTATAAATTTGTACCACCATAGGAGATTATAGGTCCTGTAGTAATTCTTGAAATGGTTGGGTTGGCCTGAAATCATTTATTTGTACAACAAACATTAAGCACCTAATGTTAAGATATAAAAGACAGCCCTCAGCTGAAGGAGTCCACAATCCAGTAAGAAGTAGGGAACTGATTTAGTACAGTGATTAGAGCTATGAGGCACGAAAGCTGTGGCCAACTCCACTGGATGTCCCACAGTACAGACTGCCTCTTTTTTCTCAGCAAGTGACCAACAAATTAGAATTGTGGTCCAGAATGAAGCCCACATCCCTCAGCCCCCTTGCAACAGCTAAGTTCTGTCAATAGGCCTTAAGCACAAAATGCTATTTGTAATTTCTGTGCCTTTCTCTCCCTTTTACTTTTTTTTTTTTTTTTTTTTTTTTTATGTGCCGAGAATCAAACTCAGGACCCTGCGCTTGCCAGGCAAGTGCTGTGCTGGTCAGCTACATCCCCAGCCCTCTTCCTTTTACTTTCATGCCAGCTGTAATAAAGCCTTGGTGCCTAGGACTGGAGTAGCCAGTATGAACTACGATAGCAAGTTGAGCATTACAAACGGCAAAGACAGGAGCCAGGGTCCTTGTGACAATGAAGTTGCCACAGTAGGAGCCACGGACCGTTTTATTTATGCTCTGTTCTCTGGAGTTTTTCATACTCACAGCTAATTCTAAAATTACCTTAAAGAGAAATCACTATTTACCATCAGTGGACTGTACAATTGAAAAGGGGCAAGATAATAAATTTTAATTAAAAAAAAAAAAAAGTCCAAAGCCAAGCACTGGGGAGTGGGCTCAGCGGCATATGCATCTGGCTGGTGAGTGTGGGGTCCTGAGTCTGATGCCCAGTAGCAAAAAGAAAAAGAAATGTCTGCAATGTCAGATTCTTAGAGACGAAAATGTAGAATGACAGTTACCAGGGCTTGAGGGAGAAGGGAAGAGAGCAGGCGCTGGCTTTGGGCTACAGAGTCGAAGCTCTGCGAGATGAAAAGAATTGTGGGTGGGCTGGAGGTGACCGTAACACAACACTGCAAATGTACTCAAGCCACTCAGATCTAGTCTTTGAGAGCTAAAGAGGTTGATTTTGTATGAAGTTCATCCTACCACAATTAAAAAGAAAAATCCAAGGCAGAAGGCAATCTTGGGAGATGGTTATATGGGTGTGCATTTGGCAAAACTTATCAGACTGCTTCCTTAAAGTGGCTAAGTGTCAGTTAATCACTGTGTTAAGATATAAAAGACTTTACCCCATTAAAGTCCTAGGGGCTATCTGTCTTTCATCAAGCTCAAAGGCTTGCTGCGGAAGAGCCCTAAGGAAGAGTCAGCACACGTATACTCTGTATTTTGCAAGCTGATTACAAAGCAGAACATTTTATTTTCTCTACATCATGCAAAACTCAGCAATAAGAATGGAATAATGAATGACACAGACAAGCCCTGCGGCTGTGCTATGGTTTAGAAGTGCCCGCCCAAGGCCACGCATTGAGGGCTCTGTCAGCAGCATGTGATGCCACTGGAAGGTGGAGCCCCATGGGAGGGAGCTGGGTCACTGGGAGCCTGGATGGGGAATTGGGGACCACAGCCCCCTTCTTTCTCTCTCTCCCTCCCTGCCACCATGAGGCAAGAGGTTTCCTCCACCGGGTTCTCCTGCCACGATGCTCCACCCCACTACAGGCCCAAGAGCGGCAGGGCCAGGTGACCACAGAATGGAATCCATGCCAAAATAAATCTTTTTAAGCGTACGACTTCAGATATCTCATCACCGTGGTGGAAAGCGGACTAATGTAGTGTGGTGTTGCTTATGAACTTTGAGTTTCAGGAAGTGTGGTTTCAACTCTTTTACATGTCCCTTTCTTCCCCTAACCTAATCCTTTTCCCATCTGTTCCTTACAGCTATATTACAATTTTTGTTTAAGTTAGTGTGTCATGTTGTTTTATTCCATTCAGTTTGCTGCGGCAAAATATCACAGACAGGGTGGCTTATAAACAAGAGAAATTTTTCACAGTTCTGGAAGTTAGAAAGCCTCAGAACCAAGAGCTGGCCCCTCGGGTGTTAGAGACGTCTTCCTGCTCCACAGGGTGTGTCCTCACCTGGGGAAGGGAGCTCCGGCCTGTCATGAGGTGCTACTCCAGCTCACGTGGCATCTGCTCTCGTGACCTCATGACCTCCCGTCTCAGCGTGCTTTGTGCTGCTGTCACAGGATACCACAGATGGCATCATTTATAAACAACAGGCGTTTATTTGGTTCCTGGTTCTGGAGGCTGGGATGTCCGACATGGAGAGCTGTGGGCCTTCATGCTATGTCATACCTGGTGGAAGGTGTCACGTGCACACAGGCGCAAGTGTGAGCTGGCAGCAGCAAGCTGGCATGAGTTCATGGTGAGGGTGAGGCTTTCTGACCTAAACATCTGTCTCAGGCCTCATT